TTCAGCAGGGGGCCGGTCCACTGTCCCTCAGACCTTGTGGGAGGCCGGACTATTTTTTTGGGGGGGGGGGATGAACAAATTTATATGCCCCACAAATAACCCAGAGACACATTTTAAATAAAAGGACACATTCTACTCATGTAAAAACACGCTGATTCCCGGACCGTCCGTGGGCCGGATTTAGAAGGCGATTGGGCTGCATCCGGCCCCCGGGCTTTAGGTTGCCTGTCCATGCTCTGAACCACCACTACATCCCATAGACCTTAAGGACCCCATAGCCAATCCATTTCCAAGTCATTTCATTGCTTCCAGTACACCGATTCCTGCATTGCAGCGGGTTGGACTAGATGACCGCTGGGGTCCCTTCCAACTTTCCAATTCTATGATTCTATAAGACTGTGGAGCCTGTGACACTCTGGATGTTGCTGAACTACAGCTGCCGTCATATGCACATCTTCTAGCATTGCCCATTAATCCAGATTTTCTGGACTACAACCTGTAATTTTATCAATTAAATGACATGGATACTCACGACCGCAGAACCCCCAGATACTATTATTAAGATATTTGAAAAAATAATCATACAGTATCTGTGGCAAAAAGAGGAGTGAGGATTGCTATAGCTTGGAAGAAAGGCACAACTTCCTCAATTTGTAAATTCATTTTTTTACTGAGACCTGAAACGGACATCTTTTGGACTTGTTACAGAAGTGCACTATAAACTGCGGCTTGCCGTAATGGACACTGTTACAGGTGCTGCGTAATACCTGGTTTGCACAAAACTGATTGTTTAGTGTGGCCGCATCTGCACTGTGGAACTCCCTGCCTATTGACATTGTGGAGATGCCTTCACTGTAAGGGACGCGAGTGGCGCTGTGGGTTAAACCACAGAGCCTAGGGCTTGCCGATCAGAAGGTCGGTGGTTAGATAAATAGGTACCGCTCCGGCAGGAAGGTAAACGGCATTTCCGTGCGCTGCTTTGGTTCACCAGAAGCGGCTTAGTCATGCTGGCCACATGACCTGGAAGCTGTACGCTGGCTCCCTCGGCCAATAAAGCGAGATGAGCGCCGCAACCCCAGAGTCGGTCACGACTGGACCTAATGGTCAGGGGTCCCTTTACCTTTACCTAAATGCCTTCACTATATTCTTTTTGGTGCCGGCTAAAAACATTTTTGTTTAGACGAGCGCACAAAGGCAGTGCATGATGTCAGTGTGTGTTGCAATCTGGTTTCTGGTTTCTTGCCGATTTTATTTCTCGAATGTTTCAAAGGGTTGCTTTTGCTGATAATTTCATTGTTGCTTTCCTGTTTATAAACCGCTTTGAGGTTTGTTTGTTTTTAATAATAAAAAAATCAATTGGTGCATAGGTTTTAGGAAATGAGTAGGTAAATAAACAAAGCCCCTGCAAGCAAATTGAGACCGCAAGAGATACTGTTGTGTTGCTGTGTTTGTGCAGCCGTCCTAAACCAGCAGAAAGTTCGGTGCCCGAGAGACTTGTGTTGAGTGGCAACCCCCTGTATGCACACCTGTGCCACTGTGTTGCACGCACACAGGCGCGCACAGCCTTTGATTTTTTGCCTGAAACGCGCAGCAGGAAGCTGAGCTTGGCGGCATCTGTTGATGGTTTCAGCAGGCAACACAGTTTGGCTCCTCTCCACACCACGACTTGGGCTTCCAGCTGTTGGCCCTGCCTGAGGCTGCAAATACACCATGCATTTGAAGCACACTGAAAGCGCATCTCCTCCCCGCAGGGGACACGGGAGCCGTAGTTTACCCCTCGCGGATAATGGGCTTTAAATGTATGTTGTGGATGCAGCCCAGGTCTCTTTGCAATGGGAGCTCAAGGACTGCAAGGTTGCACAAACACCATTCGTTTAAAGCCCATTTAAAGTCCATTGCATATGAATTGGAATACAAAAGAGGGTGGTATGAGGAGGTCCAGGGAAACAAGTAAATGTAAGAGAGGTGATGAAAAGATGGAATTGTTTTTAACTGTTTTTTCTTTTTTTTGTATTTTGTATTTTGTATTTTTCCTTTTTATTGTTAATTTTCTTATTAATGTAATATTTTTCTTTTCTTTGAAATTTTAATAAATATCATTTAAAAAATAAAATAAAGTCCATTGCATAAAGTCCGTTTAAGGCAGAGACATCACCTTGCCAACAAAGGTCCATATAGTTCAAGCCATGGTTTTCCCAGTAGTGATGTATGGAAGTGAGAGCTGGACCATAAAGAAGGCTGATCACTGAAGAATGGATGCTTTTGAATTATGGTGCTGGAGGAGACTCTTGAGAGTCCCATGGACTGCAAGAAGATCAAACCTCTCCATTCTGAAGGAAATCAGCCCTGAGTGCTCACTGGAAGGACAGATCCTGAAGCTGAGGCTCCAAGACTCTGGCCACCTCCTGAGAAGAGAAGACTCCCTGGAAAAGACCCTGATGTTGGGAAAGATGGAGGGCAGAAGGAGAAGGGGACAGCAGAGGACGAGATGGTGGGACCGTGTTCTCGAAGCTACCAGCATGAGTGTGACCAAACTGTGGGAGGCAGTGGAAGACAGGAGTGCCTGGCGTGCTCTGGTCCAGGGGGTCATGAAGAGGCGGACACCACTAAACGACTAAACAATAAACAAAAGTCCATTGCAAGGACAGTTTCCAGGATTTAGGGCTTGTGTGTGTGTGTGTGTGTGTGTGTGTGTGTGTGTGTGTGTTTATCTGCACCATGCGCAACACAGCCCAGGCTGTGGAAGGTCAAGGAATCTCATTTCTTTCTTTGATAGACAGTGGATCAGGGGAATGTGGCCGTAATGTATCTTGATTTCAGTAAGGCTTTTGACAAAGTTAGAAATGCTAGAAGGAGTGTTTCTGGGCATGTGCAGAGAGGCTCAGCTACACATATATACACCCTGAGCTTAGTTTCCCCTCGGTTTTCTTCTGCAACACTTTATCTCAAATATCCTCTGAACGCTCTTACTCCCAGTACTTGATATCTGGGTTTGACCTTGGTTGCTCGATTTCTGCATTTGATATCCACAACGTGATAAGTAACGTTCAAAGGTATCTCATCTTTGGCAGCCGGTAGCTTAGGAGATTTTTATTCCTGATGCACGGCAGAAGCAATCAGGAGATAGCCAGTGAGATTAAAAGTACAATTCCAGGTTAAAAAGCACACGCACACGTGGATTTGAAGTTCAAACCCCACATTGTGCATTCGAAATTGGAATGGAGAAGTAAATATTTCGGAATATAAGATAAGAACATAAGAAGAGACTGCTGGATCAGGCGAGGAATGCAGCTAGTCCACCATTTAGGGTTGCCATATTTGCAAAAGTACCCCCAAAGTTGCTGAGCTATTTTTTTTTAACAAAGTCACCCCCCCGAAACACAATGACTTGACTTGCCTAAGATCCACCTTTCAGGAAAAAACCCCAATTTCACCTTGGAAATCCCATTGATATCCGGGAAAATGTAGGGCAGCCCTAAGTATCCTCTTCTCTCAGTGGCCAACCAGATGTCCATTATGGGGAACCTGCAATCAGGATTCGAACACAAGATCACAACTCTCCCCTCCTGCATTTCCAGCAACTCGTATTCAGAAGCATTTATGCCTCCAGATGTTGGAGGGCAGATCATAGCCATCCTGGCTGGTAGCCATCAATAGCCCTCTCTTCCTCTATTAATTTGTCTAATCCTCTTGTAAAGCTACCCAGGTTGCTGGTCCTCACTGTTTCCTGTGGCAGGGAGTTCCATAGTCTAACTCGGTGCTGACTGAAGTAAGACTTTCTTTTCTCCTCCCCCAATCTTCCAACATTCACCTTTACCGGATGACCACTGGTTCTAGTGCTCCTATGGCAACCACAAGAGGGGGGAAATGGTCTTAGGTTCGAATCCTGATTGTGGGCTTCGCTTTGGGGCCACCGTGAGAACAGCATGCTGGGACTAGATAGGCAAATGACTTGATCCAGCAGGCTTTCCTTACGTTCTTCCGAAGTTCAAATCCAGCATTTAGCATTTGAAATTTGGAGAATTTGAGCGCTTATGAATATTTTGGGCTATTTATCTCAATCTTCACATGCGCGTGTTGCAGATGCAAAACACGACATGCCTAATTGGCTGAGACACTCCCCATTCATTCTCTCTCTCTCTCTCTCTCTCACACACACACACACACTGCTGAAACCTCATTCCAATGCTTGAGATTGCTCCTCTCTCTCTCTCTCTCTCTCTCTCTCTCTCTCTCTCTCTCTCTCCAAATATCTATTGCATGCACTGCCCGTTCCATTGCAGGCACTGTTTGAAATTTCACACGCTCCTCTCAAGCCTAGACCCGCTTTTGCAAAACAGATCTTGAGGCTGCCTTTCCATCTGTTGCTCTGACCCCTTCCTTAACAACGGAGTTTTTATTCTGTTCGTGGACTATCCACCTGCCGGCCTTTGGTCCGCTGTTGAGAGCACGGGGTCAGAACTGCGCGGCTTCCCCTGAGCACGCTCAGAGTGCCTTTCACTTTCCGCTGAGTAATTTCAGTCCGCTCCCTAAGTCTAGCACTGCTGGGCACTCAGAGGGCAATCTGTTGCGGGTGTCAGGGTGACCTGCCTCCATCCTGCCCCATTCATGGTAAGAAGAAGCAGCAGCAGTGGTTGGTGCCCACTGAGAGTGGTAGGGCAGAATGCGGGGAGCCCACCAGCAGGTGGCGCCAGAGCCAATGACGGCAGAGCCAGCTCATTCTTACTCCGTCCCCATCCTCTTGAATACTGAGACGAAGGGGTGGGGAGCTGACGGCCAGCTGGACCGGATGAAAGTAAGGAGGCAGTGGGGGAGCTTGGAGGAATCGAAGTTGTTGGAGGGAGCGCCCCGTTTTCCCTAATGGACCGACCTCAAACAATATTGGAAGCCTCCATGGTGTTGGCTCCCATTAACCCATATATCCTGATACATCTCAGACATCACTTTCCATCTTCGTCTCTCCAACTCCACCACTGGTCACCTGAAGGTCTCCTGCAGTCTCAAATGACACTGAACTTTTTTCTCCTCTTGCCTCGAATGGCCTCCCAGAAAATCTTCATGATCCCCTTGCTCTGAATGGGTGGAGTGGTTTCCAAAAGTCTTCTCCTTGCCCTTGCTCTGAACGGGCTGAATGGTTTCCAAAGGTCTTCTCCTTGCCCTTGCTCTGAATGGTTTCCAAAGGTCTTCTCCTTGCCCTTGCTCTGAATGGGCTGAACTGTTTCCAAAGGTCTTCTCCTTGCCCTTGCTCTGAACAGGCTGAACGGTTTCCAAAGGTCTTCTCCTTGCCCTTGCTCTGAACGGGCTGAACGGTTTCCAAAGGTCTTCTCCTTGCCCTTGCTCTGAACGGGCTGAACGGTTTCCAAAGGTCTTCTCCTTGCCCTTGCTCTGAACGGGCTGAACCGTTTCCAAAGGTCTTCTCCTTGCCCTTGCTCTGAATGGGCTGAACTGTTTCCAAAGGTCTTCTCCTTGCCTGTGGTCTGAATGGGCTGAATGGTTTCCAAAGGTCTTCTCCTTGCCTGTGGTCTGAATGGGCTGAATGGTTTCCAAAGGTCTTCTCCTTGCCTGTGGTCTGAATGGGCTGAATGGTTTCCAAAGGTCTTCTCCTTGCCCTTGCTCTGAATGGGCTGAACCATTTCCAAAGGTCTTCTCCTTGCCCTTGCTCTGAATGGGCTGAAGTGTTTCCAAAGGTCTTCTCCTTGCCCTTGCTCTGAATGGGCTGAACTGTTTCCAAAGGTCTTCTCCTTGCCCTTGCTCTGAACAGGCTGAACGGTTTCCAAAGGTCTTCTCCTTGCCCTTGCTCTGAACGGGCTGAACGGTTTCCAAAGGTCTTCTCCTTGCCCTTGCTCTGAACGGGCTGAACGGTTTCCAAAGGTCTTCTCCTTGCCCTTGCTCTGAATGGGCTGAACCGTTTCCAAAGGTCTTCTCCTTGCCCTTGCTCTGAATGGGCTGATCCATTTCCAAAGGTCTTCTCCTTGCCCGTGCTCTGAATGGGCTGAACTGTTTCCAAAGGTCTTCTCCTTGCCCTTGCTCTGAACAGGCTGAACGGTTTCCAAAGGTCTTCTCCTTGCCCTTGCTCTGAACGGGCTGAACGGTTTCCAAAGGTCTTCTCCTTGCCCTTGCTCTGAATGGGCTGAATGGTTTCCAAAGGTCTTCTCCTTGCCTGTGCTCTGAATGGGCTGAACCATTTCCAAAGGTCTTCTCCTTGCCCTTGCTCTGAATGGGCTGAACGGTTTCCAAAGGTCTTCTCCTTGCCCTTGCTCTGAATGGGCTGAACCGTTTCCAAAGGTCTTCTCCTTGCCCTTGCTCTGAATGGGCTGATCCATTTCCAAAGGTCTTCTCCTTGCCCGTGCTCTGAATGGGCTGAACTGTTTCCAAAGGTCTTCTCCTTGCCCTTGCTCTGAACGGGCTGAACCATTTCCAAAGGTCTTCTCCTTGCCCTTGCTCTGAACGGGCTGAACGGTTTCCAAAGGTCTTCTCCTTGCCCTTGCTCTGAATGGTTTCCAAAGGTCTTCTCCTTGCCCTTGCTCTGAATGGGCTGAAGTGTTTCCAAAGGTCTTCTCCTTGCCCTTGCTCTGAACAGGCTGAACGGTTTCCAAAGGTCTTCTCCTTGCCCTTGCTCTGAACGGGCTGAACGGTTTCCAAAGGTCTTCTCCTTGCCCTTGCTCTGAACGGGCTGAACCGTTTCCAAAGGTCTTCTCCTTGCCCTTGCTCTGAATGGGCTGAACTGTTTCCAAAGGTCTTCTCCTTGCCTGTGGTCTGAATGGGCTGAATGGTTTCCAAAGGTCTTCTCCTTGCCTGTGGTCTGAATGGGCTGAATGGTTTCCAAAGGTCTTCTCCTTGCCTGTGGTCTGAATGGGCTGAATGGTTTCCAAAGGTCTTCTCCTTGCCCTTGCTCTGAATGGGCTGAACCATTTCCAAAGGTCTTCTCCTTGCCCTTGCTCTGAATGGGCTGAAGTGTTTCCAAAGGTCTTCTCCTTGCCCTTGCTCTGAATGGGCTGAACTGTTTCCAAAGGTCTTCTCCTTGCCCTTGCTCTGAACAGGCTGAACGGTTTCCAAAGGTCTTCTCCTTGCCCTTGCTCTGAACGGGCTGAACGGTTTCCAAAGGTCTTCTCCTTGCCCTTGCTCTGAACGGGCTGAACGGTTTCCAAAGGTCTTCTCCTTGCCCTTGCTCTGAACGGGCTGAACGGTTTCCAAAGGTCTTCTCCTTGCCCTTGCTCTGAATGGGCTGAACCATTTCCAAAGGTCTTCTCCTTGCCCTTGCTCTGAACGGGCTGAACGGTTTCCAAAGGTCTTCTCCTTGCCCTTGCTCTGAATGGGCTGATCCATTTCCAAAGGTCTTCTCCTTGCCCTTGCTCTGAATGGGCTGAACGGTTTCCAAAGGTCTTCTCCTTGCCTGTGGTCTGAATGGGCTGAATGGTTTCCAAAGGTCTTCTCCTTGCCCTTGCTCTGAACGGGCTGAACGGTTTCCAAAGGTCTTCTCCTTGCCCTTGCTCTGAATGGTTTCCAAAGGTCTTCTCCTTGCCCTTGCTCTGAATGGGCTGAAGTGTTTCCAAAGGTCTTCTCCTTGCCCTTGCTCTGAACAGGCTGAACCATTTCCAAAGGTCTTCTCCTTGCCCTTGCTCTGAATGGGCTGAACTGTTTCCAAAGGTCTTCTCCTTGCCCTTGCTCTGAACGGGCTGAACCATTTCCAAAGGTCTTCTCCTTGCCCTTGCTCTGAACGGGCTGAACGGTTTCCAAAGGTCTTCTCCTTGCCCTTGCTCTGAATGGTTTCCAAAGGTCTTCTCCTTGCCCTTGCTCTGAATGGGCTGAAGTGTTTCCAAAGGTCTTCTCCTTGCCCTTGCTCTGAACAGGCTGAACGGTTTCCAAAGGTCTTCTCCTTGCCCTTGCTCTGAACGGGCTGAACGGTTTCCAAAGGTCTTCTCCTTGCCCTTGCTCTGAACGGGCTGAACGGTTTCCAAAGGTCTTCTCCTTGCCCTTGCTCTGAATGGGCTGAACTGTTTCCAAAGGTCTTCTCCTTGCCCTTGCTCTGAACGGGCTGAACGGTTTCCAAAGGTCTTCTCCTTGCCTGTGGTCTGAATGGGCTGAATGGTTTCCAAAGGTCTTCTCCTTGCCTGTGGTCTGAATGGGCTGAATGGTTTCCAAAGGTCTTCTCCTTGCCCTTGCTCTGAACGGGCTGAACCATTTCCAAAGGTCTTCTCCTTGCCCTTGCTCTGAACGGGCTGAACGGTTTCCAAAGGTCTTCTCCTTGCCCTTGCTCTGAACGGGCTGAACGGTTTCCAAAGGTCTTCTCCTTGCCTGTGGTCTGAATGGGCTGAACGGTTTCCAAAGGTCTTCTCCTTGCCCTTGCTCTGAACGGGCTGAACTGTTTCCAAAGGTCTTCTCCTTGCCTGTGGTCTGAATGGGTTGGATGGTTTCCTGAGAACTCCACAGGTCTTTCTTCTCCTTGCCCTTGCTCTGAACAGGCTTACAGAGTGCTGCCGCCACCTCCTCCTTCCTTCGGATTCCTCCTCAAAACCTACTCCTTCGGTGATGTCTTTGGACTACTGCAGCTGGCTCAAATACATGCAAAAGAAATGATGGTGGATTTTATTCTCTCCCCTCCCCCCCGAGCCCCGTCTTAATCTTCCTCTCCTGCCTCCCGCACCTCAGGCAGACCACGTCGGTGATACTGAGTTTGCCAAAATCTCTCTCACTGTCCAGCACACAAAGGCGCAAGAGGAAACGCATTTGTGCAGCTCGCCATCTGCGATTGATGGAGTAAAGACGGTCTGGCGACCAGTTCAAGGCTGTTCCTTCACCAGGGAAGAAAAAAATGAATCCCTGGAACAGAAAACAAAACAAAAAACCACTTCTCTTCCCACTCGGCTGCCCGCCCTTGTTCATCAGCTCCAAAGCAAGCAGGCAGCTATCCTCATTTCCAAGAATGGATGAGCTCTGCAGGGCTATTGCACCTGGTCCCTCTGATAATGGAAAAGCGTATTTGGATGAAGCTGCAGAGGTCAACACATGGAAATGGCATTTGCAAGCAAGTAATTAGCAGCTAACAGCTACATGCCAGCAATGCAGGGAGACCAGAAGCTACTGGGTGGGAGGGAAGGGGGCTCTGTATGAAAGAGTCAAGAAAAGGTTTCTTGAATCACTCTATGTTCAGGGGAAGTGGGGAATCCAGACGCCTTGGGAGGTAAAGGTAAAGGGACCCCTGACCATTAGGTCCAGTCATGGCCGACTCTGGGGTTGCGGCGCTCATCTCGCTTTACTGGCCGAGGGAGCTGGCGTACAGCTTCCAGGTCATGTGGCCAGCATGACTAAGCCGCTTCTGGCGAACCAGAGCAGCGCGCAGAAATGCCGTTTACCTTCCTGCTGGAGCGGTACCTATTTATCTACTTGCACTTTGATGTGCTTTTGAACTGCTAGGTTGGCAGGAGCAGGGACCGAGCAACGGGAGCTCACCCCATCACGGGGATTCGAACCACCAACCTTCTGATCGGCAAAGTCCTAGGCTCTGTGGTTTAACCCACAGCACCACCCACGTCCCGCCTTGGGAGAGGTGCCTTCAATTCATCGTGCTGGGTTTTCAAAGAACTTTACAGGTCTTGCCCTTGTTGGCTCCCATAATTCCTTATATCCTGATACATCAGCCATCGCTTTCCACCTTCGTTCACCCAGCTCCACCACCGGCAAGCTCTCCTGCACTCTCAAGAACACCTCCCAGGAGATCTTCACGTTGCCCTTGCTCTGAATGGGCTTAATGGTTTCCAGAGATCTTGCCCTTGCTCAGAATGGGCTTAATGGGTTTCAAAGCACTTCCAAGGTCTTCTCCTTGCACTTGCTCAGAATGGGCCTAGGGGGCAGGGTCCACACTCACCTTGAACTGCTAAAAGACGCTCCTGGGAGGCTCCTGGGAGATTGCTGGAACAACTCTTGGGGTGGGGCAACTGGCTAAAATGTTTTACAATGGTTCGAATTTTGGTTTCTCTGTTTTGTTTTGGTTGGATTGGTGTTGGTTAAATGTTTAGTTGGGGTTGGCGGTTATTTTAATTTGGGTATAACTGTAAACTTTTTATTATTATTGCTATTATTATTAGTTTCTATTGATTTACTGGTTTGTTTGTTGCTTGTTTAGGATATTCTGTTTTTTAATGTTCGATGTTTTGGTGTGTTTTTATATGTGCTGTTTATATATGCTGCTGTAAGTCACCCAGAGTGGCTGGGGAAACCCAGCCAGATGGGCGGGATATAAATTAAAAAATTGTTGTTGTTGTTGTTGTTAGATGATGATTATGGAGAGCTGGACTTGCACTCTATTCCCAGAAGTGGCTTTTACATCTTGCGAAAGCACAAACAGAATGCGGAAATTAAGAGATAGGGAGACGCCAGGGTAAATGGAATAAATTGCTGAATGAATGCAGCCCGAAGGTCATGATTGCACCCTGCTTTGAGACCACTTTAAGCAGTTGTGGCTCCCTCCCCCCCCAAGAATCCTGGGAGCTATAGTTCGTGAAGGGTACGGAGAGTTGTTAGAAGACCCCTCTTCCCTTCCCAGGGGTACAATTCCCAGAGTGGTTTAACAATCGACCTTGTAGCTCTAGGAGGAGAAGAGGGAATCTCCTAGCAAGCCCCAGCACCCTCAAAAACTACAACTCCCAGCAATCTCTGGGGGAAGCCAAAACTGTTCTCATACCGCTGTCAATAAATGGCATAAATGTGACCTAATGGTGTTCCCTTTGTGTTGAACTCAGCAGGATGGAGGAAGGAGAGGAAACTAGAATCAGTTGGCCTCTTGCGCCCCCTACTGTTAGGCTCCCAGCCTTCTGCCCTACCGGTCACAACGGCTGCTGCTGCTGATCTGAATGGGGCAGAACGGTGGCGAGATTGGTGCCGTGGGGGTCACACTGACTCAAGGGTCGAATTGGCAGCTGGGTGCCAACCAGAGCCGCCGTCTAACTGGGCACGCATCAGTGACGCTGGCGTTGGGAGAGCAGCTCGGTGGCTTTGCCCCACAACCACACACAGGGGGCGCTACTGCATTCCGTACAGGCCTAACTGTAAGCTCCTTTGGGGCAGGGACCCTATGACTTCTCCCTATCACTTCTCCAAGCCAAGGAACCAGGCAGAGGGCCTTCTCGGTGGTGGCGCCCGCCCTGTGGAACGCCCTCCCACCAGATGTCAAAGAGAAAAACAACTACCAGACTTTTAGAAGACATCTGAAGGCAGCCCTGTTTAGGGAAGCTTTTAATGTTTGATGTATTACTGTATTTTAATATTTTGCTGGAAGCCGCCCAGAGCGGCTGGGGAAACCCAGCCAGATGGGCGGGGTATAAATAAATGATGATGATGATGATGATGATGATTATTATTAAGCAGGTAGAGAAAACTTACTCTCCTGCTCTCAAAACACTTGAACTCACGGGCATCCAATGAAACTGCGTGTTGGAAGATTCAGGACGGGTAAAAGAAAGTCCTTCATACAGCACTTGGTTAACCTGTGGAACTCCCTGCCACAAGAGGCAGTGAAGGCCACCAATCCGAATGGTTTAAAACAGGCTTCCTCAACCTCGGCCATCCAGATGTTTTGGGACTACAACTCCCATGATTCCTAGCGAGCAAGACCAGTGGTCAGGGATGATGGGAATTGTAGTCTCAAAACATCTGGAGGGCCGAGATTGAGGAAGCCTGGTTTAAAAAGAGGATTCGACAAAGGCACGGAGGAGAGGGCTATCGATGGCTACTAGGAACGGCTCGGCTCTGCCTCTATGGTTTGAGGCAGCAAAACTTCTGAATACCAGTTGCTGGAAACAGCAGGAGGGGAGAAGGGTCTTGTGTTCGAATCCTGATTGCAGGTTTCCCATTGGGGCATCTGTTTGGCCATTGTGAGAACAGGGTGTTGGACTAGGTGGGACCCTGGCCCCTTATCCTGCAGGCTCCTCCTATATACTGTTGCAGGGATTTATGTATAGGTTGGGGGGGGGTTGCCCCTCCAGCAGATATCATGCACATGCAGCCCACTGCCAAAACCAGCATCGCTTTTGTGACTTTTGTGACTTGTCCCCACAAAACACTTCATCACAGTTTCTTCCTATCTATTCAAAGGGCCTTTGCTGCACAATACCAAATGTAAGAATTCACTGATAAATGCATCTCTGTACTGGCTCACTAAGGAAACATCAGAAATTCATCTAGACATGTGAGCTCAGCTACTCAGCAGCCCCTCTGCCTGAGGGATAATTCCTGGCATCCTGATACCTGAATGCCAGACAGGTAGCCATTCCAGAAAGAACAAACCCAGATGAAGACAAAAGGGTGGGATGAACTTGGCTGGGAAACAGGGAAATGTAAAGATCTCTTTTGTTACACTTGATGGGTGTTTGGTGGAGGGCAAAGAGAATCATGGGGCAGGGTCCAGGATGCTCAGATTACTGCCACCAGACCTCCCCTTTCATGGTGTAACCATGATGTAGTTTGGGGGGTTAACATGGGGATTAGCAGCTAATAAAAGTTTGGGTTCTCTCTTGTTCTGGGCTTCCATCTTGTTCCACCTGGTGGCAGGTGGGAGTCCTGTCGCGACAGTCTTCAATAAAGACCAAGCCTACTGGCTGCTGTTTTGCTCTGGTATTCCTGGCTGGTGTCCTTGTTTTTTGTCCAAGGGAGCCCTCAGATTTCTCCATTAACAATACTGTGTACAGCAGCTTTCTCCAACCTCCAGATATTTTGTACTAAAACTCCTCTATCAGCCCCGCAGCTAAGTCACAGCAAAAATGCCACGCGACTGATTACGACATTTTGCAAACGATTCACGCGCAGCGCTTGCGGCCTCCTTCTTGCAATGAATTAAAATACCGGTTTGCTTTAATAATGGGTTAGGCTTTGATTTTCATTAGCTGGGCTGGAAGTTGAAAGGGATCTTTGGCTCTGGTGTGCTATTCCTAAGAGGGAATGAAATAAATATATATCCCTGGTTGGCCTAAGAATGATGGGAGCTTCTTTCAGACAAAATTACATGTAGCTTCCTTTAGAAAGCTTGCTCTATTGAGGCCTGGCAACGTGCAGATTGATTTCAGCCGACGAATCAGTTAAAGCGAAGGTGATTAATCCTCTGGCATCACATAACATAAGACTGCATTTGCCAATAATAGGCGAATTTGTGGCATTCAAATTTCGGGTGTGTGTGTGTTAGGTTTCCTCTGCACATCCAACAGTACAGGTTGAATCCTGACAAGACAGAAGTACTGTTTTTGGGGGACAGGAGGCGGGCGGGTGTGGAGGACTCCCTGGTCCTGAATGGAGTAACTGTGCCCCTGAAGGACCAGGTGCGCAGCCTGGGAGTCATTTTGGACTCACAGCTGTCCATGGAGGCGCAGGTCCATTCTGGGTCCAGGGCAGCTCCATCTGGTATGCAGGCTAAGACCCTACCTGCCCGCGGACTGTCTCGCCAGAGTGGTGCATGCTCTAGTTATCTCTCACTTGGACTACTGCAACGCACTCTGCATGGGGCTACCCTTGATGGTGACCCGGAAACTGCAATTAATCCAGAATGCGGCAGCTAGACTGGTGACTGGGAGCGGCCGCCGGGACCACATAACACCGGTTCTGAGAGATCTGCATTGGCTCCCAGGACGTTTCCGAGCACAATTCAAAGTGTTGGTGCTGACCTTGAAAGCCCTAAATGGCCTCGGTCCTGTATACCTGAAGGAGCGTCTCCACACCCATCGTTCAGCCCGGACACTGAGGTCCAGCACCGAGGGCCTTCTGGCGGTTCCCTCATTGCGAGAAGTGATGTTACAGGGAACCAGGCAGAGGGCCTTCTCGGTAGTGGCGCCCACCCTTCAGATGTGAAGGAAATAAGCAGCTATCCTATCTTTAAAAGACATCTTAAGGCAGCCCTGTTTAGGGAAGTTTTTAATATTTAACGCTGTACTGTTTTTAACACTTGATTGGGAGCTGCCCAGAGTGGCTGGGGAAAGTCAGACAGATGGGCGGGGTATAAATAATAAATTATTATTATTATTATTATTATTACATTGCATGCCACTCTAAAAGCCCAGAAAATGTACACTGTGAACTGGGCACATCATCTGGGCACCGCAGTCAAAGAAGGATAGTGCCAGGCTGGAAGGTGTGCAGAGGAAAGTCTGGAAGCCAAACCTTGGGAGGAACGGTTGAGGGAGCTGGGTCTGTTTAGCCTGGAGAAGAGGAGATTGACAGGAGATATGAGAGCCATCTTTAATTGACTCTGGAGATGACAACTGATACAGTGGTACCTTAGTTGTCAAACGGCTCGGCTCCCGAACAAATCGGCTCCTGAACACCGCAAGTGTTCCAGTTTGCGAATGTTTTTTGGAAGCCGAACGTCCGACGCTGCTTCCATTTGAGTGCAGGAAGCTCCTGCAGCCAATTGGAAGCCACACTTTGTTGTTGTTGAGTCGTTTAGTCGTGTCCAACTCTTCGTGACCCCCTGGACCAGAGCACGCCAGGCACTCCTGTCTTCCACTGCCTCCCACAGTTTGGTCAAACTCATGCTGGTAGCTTCGAGAACACTGTTCAACCATCTCATCCTCTGTCGTCCCCTTCTCCTTGTGCCCTCCATCTTTCCCAACATCAGGGTCTTTTCCAGGGAGTCTTCTCTTCTCATGAGGTGGCCAAAGTCTTGGAGCCTCAGCTTCAGGATCTGTCCTTCCAGTGAGCACTCAGAGCTGATTTCCTTCAGAATGGAGAGGTTTGATCTATCCCCTTCATGGATCACCTGCCTTGCCGTGGCGAAGGGGCTTGAATAACTCAGAGAAGCTATGAGCTATGCCGTGCAGGGCCACCCAAGATGGACAGGTCATAGTGGAGAGTTTTGACCAAATGTGATCCACCTGGAGCAGGAACCGGCAAGCCACTCCAGTATCCCTTACAAGAAAACTCCATGGACAAAGACAACAGGAAGCCACGCTATGATAGGAATTTTGAGGTCTTAGATATATGGTAATGTTCATAAGTGTAGCAACTAAGCATGTACATAGATCAGCACAGGAAGACCGACCTGAAACCATTTTGATTCCCCAACTGACCAAATGTTTTCCCTGCAAGGAGGGAGGGGCAGGGGCAGGGAGGCTTCCCATTGTCTCAGGAATTGAGTAATCAGCATTTTAATTGGCGACAGACTATCAGGAAAGGAAATCAGATAATCTGGCAAACAGGAAAAACAACATTCAAATTTCTGTTTTAGACCGCCTTTTCTGTGATGTAGGTATGATGTATCTGGAGGTGGTCTTGATCTACAGGGTGGCAATTTCAAAAGTCTATATAAGGCCTTGCGCGCCATTGTTCTGGGTTCCTCCTCCCTCCTGCGTGTGAGGGGAGCACCCTGTTGCAACAGATCAATAAAGATCAGGCTTATTAGCTGCTTTACTTCTCAATATTTTTCTCCTACCAATAGGGAACCCACATAAGGACTCTACATGGGCTCTTGGATACCCCACAAGGGAAAAGGGGCAGATTTTGGTTACAACATGCCTTGGTTTTTGAACAGCTCCGGGAGTCGAACGGACTCCCGGAATGGACTAAGTTCGACAACCAAGGTACCACCGTATCAAGAAAAAGTTTCCAACAATGAGAGCTATTTGACAGTGGAACAGAAGACCTGGAGACTTTGCTTCGTTGGAGACTTTGAAACAAGAGGTTGGGTGCCAGGGATTCTTGGGCCGAGATTCCCGCATTGCAGGGGGTTGGACTAGATGACCCCCTGGGGTCTCGTTCATCTCTACAGTTCTCCGATTCTGGCAAAATGCATTAGATTGAAATCGAACGCAGCCTTTCCCTGGGCGTCCTTGGACCTGTTTGCCAACACTTCCAACTCCCCCCCCCCAGTCCATATCCTGTCCCCCCACACCCCAGGAATAACATAAACCAGACCGGGCTGCAGTTCACACACAAAAGATTTAATCACCTCCGAAAAAGCAGCCACACCCTGTGATGGAGGAAGAGGAGCTGGATGGCACTGGGAGAACTGGGAGGGCGGGGAATGGATGATGGCGAGGGGGGGGGGACATCGGGACAAAGAGGTCAGGGCAATGGCCGGGTGTGGCAGGCACAGGTTTTTAATGTAAAAACTTGTGTTCATCAACACTCAAACGTTTTTGGGGGTTTGACCTTGAAAAGAAATAAGAGAGGGCATTGGGGGGGGGGAGTTGCAGGGGAGAAGGGAGGGAGGGGTCTTGCATGACTTTATATGGGGGTGGGAACAGGGTCGATTTCAAAGGTTTTAAGGAAAAAGGAAAGGGGGGGTCTGGATGCCATCAATGTTGAAAGTGGGGCAGCTGAGATGGAGGACCATAGATTTTGGGCGGGTGGGGAGGGAGGCGTGGGCTGGCAGAAATGGGGGCGAAAGCAGGGAAATTGGGGGGGGTGTCGGTCGACGAGTTCAAATGACTTTTCCGATGAATGAACACACCAAACACAGAATTTCTTTTTATCTAGACCAGCCAGATACAATAAATATAGTAACCGAATATTGTCTCCGTGGGTCCTGGGGGTGGGGGTGGGGTGTGCAGCAAATGGGAAGGGGCCCCCCCACCCCTCCCTTCCCTTAAGTCGGACCACCACCCCGGTAGTAGTTTTTCTGTGGTCTTATGCTCAGTTCTCTCCTGAAATAATTCCCCCCCAATTCTCTCCTTTTTTTTTTTTATTGGAACAGTTATTAATGCATAAAGAGGAGGAAAGGGGAAAAAAAAGAAAGAAAAGGATCTTTGTTTAGTTTTTCGTGTCATCTGTGCATATGTGTCTTTCCTTGGCCTCCCGCCACCCCCCAACCCCCTCCCCCTTTCCCAATGCTCTTGAGCACTCCACAGCCCCCCTATCTCTCTCTCTCCCAACACCCTCTTTCCGGGAAACCGAACTTTCTCCCCCTTTCAGCGAAAAAATCATGGTTCAGTTCCCCTTTCTCAATCTCTCTCTCTCTCTCTCTCTCTTTGTGGCTCGGTTAAGGCACCGCCGCAGGAGATTCTGGAAACGAGCGGTCAATTGCAGAAGAGGTTGGGGGGCAAAGGGGGGCGGGCCGGATCCGCCCCTTGCCCCCCGTGAATATTTCGGCCTGCGTCTCTCTCTCCCCCCGGCCACCTTCCCTGCCTCCCTTCCTTGGTTGCTCTGCCCCCAACGAGTTGTGCGTCCGGCAAGTCCGTCCGTCTGTCCGTCTGCCCCCCCTCCCCGCCGCCCGCCCCCCGCTTTTCAGACTGTGCTTTCGAGCATCCATTCTGTGCTGCTAAAAGTGACCCTCCTGTGGCTCAGGGGGTCCTCGTCCGAGTTCAATTGGGAGGTGGACATGTGTCGCTTTGTCCGTGCCCGGCGCGGGTAGCTGTGGCTCTGAAACAGCGAGTAGTCCCCGTCGAAGGAGTGCCGGTGATGGTGAGTCCTGGACAACTCGCGCGTGGGGAATCCCACCAAGCCGCCACCAACGCCCATCTTGGCCCGCAACGGCCCCGACCCGGCGTCCTTGACCAAGCACAAGGAAACCGTTGAGCCCCTCAGGGCACCTTCTGCCTGCCCTTCGTCAGAAGACAAGATGGCCACCGTCTGGAGGCTGGTGGCCATCTTGGAGCCTCCTCGGCTGTCCAGCTCCGTCAAGGCAACGTCTTGGCGGCTGGGCGCCTCTCCTGCAGCGTCCCCCCTCGGAGGAGGCTCCTTGGAAGCCACTTCTTGGAGAGTCTCGTATTTGTCCTTGGAGGCCGAGCGGGGAAGGGCGTGGGCGTGAGGCTGGTTCCCGTTGGTCTGCGAGTAGACGTTGCTGACTTTGGCTTTCTTGTGCTCCTCCTGCCCGCTGTAGACTTTGTACCGGATCATGAGGATGATGATGAAGACCAGGACGGAGGCCACGATGATGCCCCCGATGATGATGATCATGGTGCCCCCCAGGAACTGGGTGTGCAGTGAGTGGCACTGGGTGGCCTCGCCCTCCGTGGTGAACTGGACGCAGCCCACCACCCGGGTGGCCGTCAGGGACGTCACCCCATCGTCGTAGACGGCCAGGACGCACAGGTCGTAGTCCCGTCCGGCTGCCAAGTCATTCACCAGGAAGGTCTTGCTGGACGAGGGGATCATCCTGGGGGGGCGAGGAGAGAAGGAGACATTGGGATCAAACAAATTGAGGGTTAGAAACAGCACCCAGCCACCCCTTCCTCTCTCACGGGCCTCATTCTTGCATGGCTTAGGGCCCTCGTATCTACGGGACCGCCTCTCCTGGTCTGCCCCGCAGAGGACATTAAGGTCCATGAATAACCACAGTTTAGAGGTCCCGGGCCCTAAGGAAATCAGAGTATCCTCCACCAGGGCCAGGGCCTTCTCAGTGATGGCTCCCACCTGGTGGAATGCTCTGTCCCAGGAGACCACGGCCCTGCAGGATTTAACCTCCTTCCGCTTGGCCTGTAAGACAGAGCTATTCCACCTGGCCTTTAATTAGAATTCAGCCTGATCTTTTATTTCCCTTCCCTTCTCTTCCCTCTCCCTCCCCTTTTATGAAGATCACCTGCTCTGAGACCCCACAGCTAATTCTCCCCTGGCCTCCTTGCTGGCCCAAGTAGGACCAATTCAGCCAGCTAGCCCTGGAGATTATCAAATTGATTTTTGAATTTTATTGTCATTCATGTTTTCACATTGTATTATATGATGTCTTTATAATTAAGTGTTTTAAATTTGTTGTTAGCCGCCCTGAGCCCGGTTTTTGAACCGGAAAGGGTGGGGTGTAAATAAAAATTTATTATTATTATGATGATGTAACTTTCACAAAATCATAGAATTGTAGAGTTGGAAGGGACCCAGGGGTCATCTAGTCCAACCCGCTGCAATGCAGGAATCTCAACTCAAGCATCCATTGTAGATGGCCATCCAACCACTGCTTAAAAATCTGCAAGGAAGGAGAGTCCACCACATCCCAAGGGAGGCCGTTCCGCTGTCGAACAGCTCTTACTGTCAGAAAGGAATGTTTAGTCGGAATCTCCTTTCTTGTAACTTGATGCCATGGGTTAGAGTCCTACCCTCCAGAGGAGGAGAAAACAAGCTTGTTCCATCTTTCACATGACAGCCCTTTTTATACTGGGAGATGGCAGAGGAGGGTGACCAAAATGATCAAGGGTCTGGAAACCAAGCCTTACGAGGAACGGTTGAAGGAGTTGGGCATGTTTAGCCTGGAAAAGAGGAAACTGAGAGGAGATAGGATAGCCATCCTCTAATATCTGAAGTCACATGGAAGATGGAAGAAGTTTGTTTCTGCTTTTCTGAATCATCATCATCATCACCATATATTCTTTTTCTTTGGCGATCACTCATATCTGAGTAAGATTGTTTTTCATGAACACGATCTTAACAGTGAGTCCGTAAGTGACTGTGGAGGCCAATTCTGGATCCACACGTCCTTCCACAGTGGGGACATTGGTTTCCGGGCGGGAGTTGATCACGGTGTGGATTTGCCAAACGTGCCTTCCTCTTAGCACGTCTCTCCCTTGCGTCCTGAGTTCAAGTGTCTTCAAAGCCGAGGACACCATGGGTCAAGGCTGTTCTCCAACTGGAGCGCTCACAGGCCAATGTTTCCCAATTGTTGGTGTTTATACTACATTTTTAAAGATTTGCATTGAGACGGTCTTTAAACCTCTTTTGTTGACCACCAGCATTACACTTTCCATTTTTAAGTTTGGAGTAGAGGAGTTGCTTTGGAAGACGATCATCAGGCATCCGCACAACATGACCAGTCCAGCGAAGTTGCTGTTGAAGAATCCTTGCTCCCTTCTTACTGGCTTGCTCCAGCCACTCTGAGCCCAGACGACCTGAACCAATGGCTTCACATTGCACCAAAGGAGATTCCGACTGAATGTCAGGAAGAACTTTCTGACAGTAAGAGCTCTTCGACAGTGGAATGGTCTCTCTTGGGAGCTTGTGAACTCTCCATCCTTGGAAGTTTTAATGCAGAGGTTGGATTCTCACCTGCCATGGATGTTTTAGCTGAGATTCCGGCATTGCAGCGGGTCCCTTCCAACTCGACAATTCCATGATTCTATCCCTACCTGGCATCTTTACTTAAAACGGAGTTGGGAAATGATATATAATGAATTGGAAAAAAATGTTTAAAATAACTTTTTCTTAAAAAACCCCCGAAGCCTTTCTTTTAGGAATACTAGGTGCCGAAATCCCAATGGAGCAGAAAAGACTATTTATGTATGCGACCACGGCTGCGTGAATATTATTGGCCCAGAGATGGAAAGAAGATAAGGTCCCGACCAGAGAAGAATGGCAGATCAAGTTGATGGATTATGCCAAAATGGCAAAAACGACTGGAAAAATCAGAAATCAGGAAGTCCAAAATTTTAATAAATATTGGGGGAAATTATCTTAAAAACCATTGTAAACAGTTAAAATTGTTAGTAGGATTGGAATAACACTTGTAGTTTAATGTTGAACTGTGGATATAATGAAGATGTAAAAGATTTGGATTATTATAAAAGATGCAAGAGGAAATGACTAAGAATAGGACCACAAAGGGGAGGGGGGAAGTCCCGGAGATTCCTTTAATCTTGTTTTTATCTTCTTCGTGTGCCTCCTCTGCAAGAGGTCCGGAGGGCGTCAAAACGAGAACGGGCCCTTTTCTGCAGTGGCTCCCTGTCTGTGGAATGCTCTCCCCAGGAAGTTCGCCTGGCACCTTCACTATACACCTTTAGGCGCCAGGCAGAAACGTTCTTCTTCAGCCTTTGCCTGACTCCATCTACATCCTATACCCTTTTTAAAAATGCTGGTACTTTTGGGTTATTATTATTATTGGGTTGTTGGTTTTGTTTTGATTTTACGTGCAGCGGACGCTCGGGTTGCGAACGTGATCCATGCGGGATGCACGTTCGCAACCTGCAGCGTTCGCAACCCACGTCTGTGCATGCGCAGGTTGCGATTCGGCGCTTCTGCGCATGCGCAAAGCGCAATTTAGCACTTCTGCACATGTGCGACCGCGGAAACCCGGAAGTATCCCGTTCCAGTACTTCCGGGTATCGGCGGTCTGTAACATGAAAAATCACAACCTGAAGCGGCTGTAACCCGAAGTATGACTGTATTTGATATTTTATGTAAACTGCCCTGAGACCTTCGGGTATAGGGCAGTATAGAAATTAAAATAATAATAATGATGATGATGATGATGATGATGATGTATGTTGGATAAGGTAAAGGTAAAGGGACCCCTGACCATTAGGTCCAGTTGTGACCGACTCTAGGGTTGCGGCGCTCATCTCACTTTATTGGCCAAGGGATCTGGCGTACAGCTTCCGGGTCATGTGGCCAGCAGGACTAAGCCGCTTCTGGCGAACCAGAGCAGCGCACGGAAACGCCGTTTACCTTCCCGCCAGAGTGGTACCTATTTATCTACATACACTTTGACGTGCTTTCGAACTGCTAAGTTGGCAGGAGCAGGGACCGAGCAACGGGAGCTCACCCCGTCGTGGGGATTCGAACCGCCGACCTTCTGATCGGCAAGTCCTAGGCTCTGTGTTTTAACCCACAGCGCCACCTGCGTCCCACCAGTATGTTGTTTTTATGTGATTGTAAAGCTGTAAGTTGAAAAAACAACAACCAAATAAATAAATTAAAAATAAAGTGAAATTAAACAGAGGTGGGGCAGGAGAAGACAGATGCTCAGCACCTTTCTATGCCCTGGCAGGCGAGGGATGCAGAGGATCCGGGCGGGAGAGGCGGTGGGGGGGGGGGCTTGCAAAGTGGTCCACGGACTGCTGAAGTGCCGCACTTCTGCAGAGCACTCGATTAGTTCCCATTTATTAGCAGGAGCGAGTGATGGAGAGGCCTGAGGAGCAGCAGGCAATTAGCCAAGAATTATAGAACCGTGTCACCAACAGCTGCAATTTTCTGGGGGTGGGAAAGACAGGAGGGGGGGAGAGGATATGTTGGGGGGGGGGAACGACACGCAGATCGCACGTGGCCCAGGCGACCTGGCGGGAAGATGGATTGATCCGGCCGGGGAGGGGAGAGAGCAGGATCCATCATTCTGCCAGCGGAAAGGATTAGCCAGCATCAGCCTTCAAAGAAACAAGGTATCTGTGCCTCCACAGCAGGGTCTCACTGGGTCTCCACATCTGTCTCCCACTGCCAGAACATGGCGCCTCTGGAACGGGTGAATTAATCATCAGGAGAGAAGGGGCAAGCTTTTCCCCATGTCCTTGGGAAACTGCCTCCGAGAGGATTGGACAAATTCTGGGAGGAGAATACCTGTGGTTTCTGTCGGTGGTGCAGGTCCATTCTGTGTTCAGGGCAGCAGTTTTCCAGCTCCATCTGGTATGCAGGATGAGACCCTCCCTGCCCGGAGACTGTCTTGCCAGAGTGGTGCATACTGGGCCTTTGAGGCCATTTAGGGCTTTCAAGGTCAGCACCAACACTTTGAATTGTGCTCGGAAACGTACTGGGAGTCAATGTAGGTCTTTCAGGATTGGTGTTATGGGGTCTCGGTGGCCGCTCCCAGTCACCAGTCTAGCTGCCACATTCTGGATTAGTTGTAGTTTCCGGGTCACCTTCTAAGGAAGCCCCACGTAGAGCGCATTGCAGTAGTCCAAGTGGGAGATAACTAGAGCATGCACCACTCTGGCGAGACAGTCCGCGGGCAGGGAGGGTCTCAGCCTGCGTACCAGATGGAGCTAGGAGACAGCTGCCCTGGACACAGAATGGACCTGTGCCTCCATGGACAGCTGTGAATCCAAAATGACTCCCAGGCTGCACACCTGGTCCTTCAGGGGCACAGTTGCCCCATTCAGGACCAGGGAGTCCTCCACACCAGCCCATTCCCTGTCCCCCAAGAATAGTACTTCTGTCTTGTCAGGATTCAACCTCAATCCATTAGCCGCTATCCATCCTCCAACCGCCTCCAGACACTCACACAGGACCTTCACTGCCTTCACTGCTTCTGATTTGAAAGAGAGGTAGAGCTGGGTATTATCTGCATGATCTCTCCCTGATGATCTCTCCCAGCGGCTTCATGTAGATGTTGAAAAGCATGGGCGAGAGGATGGAACCCTGAAGCACCCCACAAGTGAGGGCCCAGGGGTCTGAACACTCATCCCCCAACACCACTTTCTGGACACGGCCCAGAAGAAAGGAGTGGAACCACCGTATGACAGTGCCCCCAGCTCCCAGCTCCTCTAGATGGTCCAGAAGGATGTTATGGTCAATTGTATCAAAGGCCGCTGATAAACCATGGTTGCAGCTGACTGGGCAATATGCCCCAAGTTGGCGAAGACTGGTCTGCTGTGACATCAGACACAGCCAACACCTCAGCTGCACATAAAATCCATGCAGGATGCTGTTTCTGGAAGGTGCCGCCCCCTCAATGCCTCCGAGATGCCTACAAGCCGCTCCTGAAGGCCACAGCCCTTTCCTGAAGTTTGTCGCCAATATCTGGCACTCTGAGGTGCACTGCGCCTATCCAAGGAGGTTCTACTTAGCCACCGCAGCTACAATTTCCAACAGAACAGCCAGCGAACACCTGGGACCGTTGGCTTGCAAAGCAGGTGCTCTGAGCTACGACACTCCCCCTAAAAATGCACTAAAATCTCAATTCTGAATAGAAGGATGATTTACTGTGAACCTAGGACCTTATAGCAAAGTCGGTCCATCGGTCTATCCACCTCAGTACTGTCTACATGGACCGACGGAGTCTCTATGGGATTTCAAGCAGGGCTCTCTACCTGGCTTACCTGGAATGGTGACTTCTGCCTTGCAGGGAGTTGGACCAGATGATGTTTCGGGTGCCTTCTACGAGTCTGTGCTGCTGGGGATTGATCCTGGGACTTTGGGTGAGCAAGGCAGGGGCTCTAACCACTGAGCCACAGCACTCCCCTGGTTCTAGACAACTGACTAGCTCAGTTGGCTAATCATGACAAGGTTGCAGGTTCGATCCTCCTAAATCCAACTCAATGGTGCAATGTTGGAAAATGTCAATCATTTCTCCTACCTGGGCAGTTATCCTTCCACAAGGGCCGACACTGATGCCAAAATCCAGCATCGCCTGAGCTCTGCAAGTTTGGATTTCTCCCGATTGAAGCGCAGAGTGTCTGAGGACTGGGACATTCGCAGGGAAACCAAAATGCTTGTTTACAAAGCTATTGTACTACCAACCTTAATATATGCTTGTGAAACATGAACCACTTATAAACGCCATGTCCGACTTCTCGAAAGATTCCATCAATTGTGTCCCCGGAAAATTTTACACATCACTTGGGAAGACAGGAGAACTAATACCAGTGTACTGGATAAAGCAAAGATCACCTGTGTTGAAGCAATGATTCTTCAACATCAACTTCGTTGGACTGGTCATGTTGGGCGGATGCCTGATGATCATCTTCCAAAGCAACTACTCTATTCCCAACTTAAAAATGGAAAGCGTAATGCTGGTGGTCAACAAAAGAGGTTTAAAGACTGTCTCAAGGCAAGTCTAAAAAATGTAGTATAAACACCAACAATTGGGAAACACTGGCCTGCAAGCGCTCCAGTTGGAGAACAGCCTTGACCAAAGGTGTCATGGGCTTTGAAGGCACTCGAACTCAGGACACAAGGGAGAAACGTGCTAAGAGGAAGGCACACTTGGCAAATCCACACCATGATCAACTCCCGCCTGGAAACCTATGTCCCCACTGTGGAAGGATGTGTGGATCCAGAATTGGCCTCCACAGTCACTGTTAAGGCCGTGTTTATGGAAGACAATCTTAGTTGGCTATGAGGGATCACCAAAGAAGAAGAAAAATCTAAAGGTTATGGGTTCAATCCCCGCATTGGGCGAATGATTCCTGCCTTGCAGGGGGTTGGAATAGATGATCCTCAGTTCTCTGATTCTAGTGCTGCCATGCTGAGCACAGAAGGAGAAAGTCTTTGAGGCTTCTTTCATGGCTACTTTCTTGCCTCTGCGCCTGAACTCTGCTTTAATCTTATTGCTGGCTTTGTGACAATTCCTGGCATGGAATCCCAGTATGAGCAGCTGTTCCACCTCTCATGCTCTCCCCTTCCCGAGAGATGGCTGCAAGGTGGCAGGAGTGGAGGAGATAAGATGTGCAGGATCATCGGATCTCTGGAAGGGGAGGGTGTCAAAGCGGGGAATCTCCTCGGGGAGGCAAATGGAGGGGAACGTGCTGGTGGGTCAGTGGTGGAGCACCTGCTCTGCATGCAAAATCGTAGAATCATGGAGCTGTAGAGTTGGAAGGGAACCTGAGGGTCATCTAGACCAACCCCGGGCAATGCAGGAATGTGCATGTGTCTTTGAATGAACAGAACAAATTAGATTAAGATTGTGAGTCAAAGGAGTGGGGAGTGTGCGAATCCAAGGCTGCTTAGCTTATTTTTGGGTTGCTATTTCATTAGTTCCTAATTTATGAGGCAATACCAGGCAATACGAATGAGACGGAAACATGGAAGGTGCCTAAAGAAGCCAGGGTGGCTATCTAAAGAACTTTTAACTGAGTTAAGATTAAAAAAGGATGTGTACAAAAAATGGAAAAGGGAGGAAACCACCAAAGAGGAATTCAAACAAATAGCCAGCACGTGTAGACACAAAGTCAGAAAAGCTAAAGAACAGAATGAACTCAGGCTTGCTAGAGAGGTTAAAAGCAACAAAAAGGCTTTTATGGGTATGTTCAGTAGCAAAAGGAAGAACAAAGAAACAGTGGGGTCACTCAGAGGAGAAGATGGTGAAATGCAAACAGGGGACACAGAAAGAGCTGAACTCCTCAATGCCTTCTTTGCCTCAGTCTTCTCCGATAAAGAAAACAATGCCCGACCTGAAGAATTTGGAGCAAATGATTCAGCAGAGGAAACACCCCAGAATAACTAAGGAGATAGTACAAGAATACTTGGCTAGTCTAGATGTATTCAAGTCTCCAGGACCAGATGAACTGCATCCAAGAGTATTAAAAGAACTGGCAGATGTGATCTCAGAACCACTGGCAGTCATCTTTGAGAATTCCTGGAGAACAGGCGAAGTCCCGGCAGACTGGAGGAGGGCAAATGTTGTCCCTATTTTCAAAAAGGGGAAAAGAGAGGACCCAAATAATTACCGCCCGGTCAGTCTGACATCAATACCAGGGAAGATTCTGGAGCAGATCATTAAGCAAACAGTCTGTGAGCACCTAGAAAGGAATGCTGTGATCACCAATAGTCAGCATGGATTTCTGAAAAATAAGTCATGTCAGACTAACCTGATCTCATTTTTTTGACAGAATTACAAACCTGGTAGATGAAGGGAACGCAGTGGATGTAGCCTACCTTGATTTCAGCAAGGCATTTGACAAGGTGCCCCATGATATTCTTGTAAAGAAGCTGGTAAAATGCGGTCTTGACTATGCTACCACTCAGTGGATTTGTAACTGGCTGACTGACCGAACCCAAAAGGTGCTCATCAATGGTTCCTCCTCATCCTGGAGAAGAGTGACTAGTGGGGTGCCACAGGGTTCTGTCTTGGGCCCGGTCTTATTCAACATCTTTATCAACGACTTGGATGATGGACTCAAGGGCATCCTGATCAAATTTGCAGATGACACCAAACTGGGAGGGTGGCTAACACCCCAGAGGACAGGATCACACTTCAAAACGACCTTGACAGATTAGAGAACTGGGCCAAAACAAACAAGATGAATTTTAACAGGGAGAAATGTAAAGTATTGCACTTGGGCAAAAAAATGAGAGGCACAAATACAAGATGGGGACACCTGGCTTGAGAGCAGTACATGTGAAAAGGATCTAGGAGTCTTGGTTGACCACAAACTTGACATGAGCCAACAGTGTGACGCGGCAGCTAAAAAAACCAATGCAATCCTGGGCTGCATCAATAGGAGTATAGCATCTAGATCAAGGGAAGGAATAGTGCCACTGTATTCTGCTCTGGTCAGACCTCACCTGGAGTACTGTGTCCAGTTCTGGGCACCACAGTTCAAGAAGGACACTGACAAACTGGAAGGTGTCCAGAGGAGGACAACCAAAATGGTCAAAGGCCTGGAAACGATGCCTTATGAGGAACGGCTAAGGGAGCTGGGCATGTTTAGCCTGGAGAAGAGGAGGTTAAGGGGTGATATGATAGCCATGTTCAAATATATAAAAGGATGTCACATAGAGGAGGGAGAAAGGTTGTTTTCTGCTGCTCCAGAGAAGCGGACACGGAGCAATGGATCCAAACTACAAGAAAGAAGATTCCACCTAAACATTAGGAAGAACTTCCTGACAGTAAGAGCTGTTTGACAGTGGAATTTGCTGCCAAGGAGTGTGGTGGAGTCTCCTTCTTTGGAGGTCTTTAAGCAGAGGCTTGACAACCATATGTCAGGAGTGCTCTGATGGTGTTTCCTGCTCGGCAGGGGGTTGGACTCGATGGCCCTTGTGGTCTCTTCCAACTCTAGGATTCTATGATTCTATGAATATTGTTGTACTCTGTGAATCCTACAATAGGACTTTTGTTGTTTTTGGGCTGGTTAGCTTATCTTTTTAGTTGTTTGGTTCACCGCGGTTCATAGATTCTGATTGTTTCACTGGTAATTTTTAATTGCTTAATTTCTTAACTATTCTATAGGATTTTATGTGATTTACGTTGCATTGTTGCATTCTGTTGCATTCCTTTCTGTTGTCGTTATTTATTGTTTGTAAGCTGTTTTGCAATTTAATGAAACAATAAATACAAAGAAAAGAAAAAAAGGAATATACAGCTGTCCCTTACAGGGATCGAACCTGCAACCTTGGGGTTATCAGCAGCACTCTCACCAACCTCACTCTCTGTGCCAGGCATCCCCAACCTGCGGCCCTCCAGATGTTTTGGCCTACAACTCCCATGATCCCTAGCTGATTATGGGAATTGTAGTCTCAAAACATCTGGAGGGCCGGAGTTTGCCTATGCCTGCGTTTGAGAACCAAGGTACCACTGCATGCATTTAAGGCAAAGCCTTATATTTAAATGCAGACCCTTATATTTGCAGAGCAATGACAAACCTAGACAGCATCTTAAAAAGCAGAGACATCACCTTGCCGACAAAGGTCCGTATAGTTCAAGCTATGGTTTTCCCAGTAGTGATGTATGGAAGTGAGAGCTGGACCATAAAGAAGGCTGATCGCCGAAGAATGGATGCTTTTGAATTGTGGTGCTGGAGGAGACTCTTGAGACTCCCATGGAATGCAAGACGATAAAACCTATCCATTCTGAAGGAAATCAGCCCTGAGTGCTCCCTGGAAGGACAGATCCTGAAGCTGAGACTCCAAGACTTTGGCCACCTCATGAGAAGAGAAGACTCCCTGGAAAAGACCCTGATGTTGGGAAAGATGGAGGGCACAAGGAGAAGGGGACGACAGAGGACGAGATGGTGGGACAGTGTTCTCGAAGCTACCAGCATGAGTTTGACCAAACTGCGGGAGGCAGTGGAAGACAGAAGTGCCTGGCGTGCTCTGGTCCAGGGGGTCACAAAGAGTCGGACACAAATAAACGACTACACAACAACATATTTGCAGACCGTTTGGGTTCCAAGTTGTTTGAGTACCAAGGCGTTTGAGCAGGCACAGGCAAACTCCAGCCCTCCAGATGTCTTGGGACTACAATTCCCATCATCCCTAGCTAACAGGACCAGTGGTCAGGGATGATGGGAATTGTGGTCCAAAACATCTAAAGGGCCGAGTTTGGGGGTGCCTGCTCTATTCCCTCTTCTCTCTGCTCACCCAGCTCCTGCAAACACCTTCCCACTTTCGAATCATTTCCCCAGCAAAAACATTTCCTGAGATCCTTCCCCTGCCTTATTTATTCATTTATATTAAACTTTTTCTATGCTACCCTTCCTTTGCTGCCAGCGCTGAAGGCAGCCCATTACGAAAACAATAATAACTATTAAAAAAACACCCACCAAAAATTAGCATCCCACATAACGATAATTAAGTCAAATTACTCGTAAGATTGTAAATACATATGATTATCCCTAATGCCATAACACGGCGAGAAATTTAACAATAGCTGTGCGCCGATCAAAACCTGCATGGATTTGGGCTGCGAGCCTGCGCATGCTTACTTGGGAGTAAGCCCAATGGGACTCTGTTGGGCTTACTTTGGAGTAGAAGTGCACAAGGTGGGGCTGTGTGGCAGGCTGCAGGACCAGCTACAAAGTCTGTCCCACTCAAGTTGGTGGGGTTTACTTCTGAGTAAAAGCTCAGACAACTGTATGGAATAATGCATGGTGGGAAACTATAGCTCAGGCATTCAGAAGAACAAAAAATAATTAAATCGCAGGGCTGATCTCACTTAGGTAGACTTCTTTGGAGACTTGAGTGGGAGGTTGCTCAGTCCCTACGTTCAATGGCATGTCTCTCAGAAGACTAAGAGATGCCATGATAAAAAAAGGTAAAGGGACCTCTGACAGTTAAGTCCAGTTGCAAACGACTCTGGGGCTGCGGCGCTCATCTTGCTTTACTGGCCGAGGGAGCTGGCGTTTGTCTGCAATTTTTCCAGGTCATGTGGCCAGCATGACTAAGCTGCTTCTGGCGAACCAGAGCAGCACACAGAAACGCCGTTTACCTTCCCGCTGGAGTGGAACCTATTTATCTACTTGCACTTGACGTGCTTTTGAACTGCTAGTTTGGCAGGAGCAGGGACTGAGCAACGGGAGCTCACCCCGTCGCGGGGATTAGAACTGCTGACCTTCTGATGGGCAAGTCCTAGGCTCTGTGGTTTAACCCACAGCACCACCCGCATCCTACCTTACTAGGAGTCAAATACCACCGGCACATAATTTTCATATAGTTTCCTTTCAGCGTACAATGTGCCGAGAATTTCAAATCAGATTTCCATAACCTTTCCCAATCTGAAAGATGGATAAGGGTTAAGGTAAAGGGACCCCTGACCATTAGGTCCAGTCATGCCCAACTCTGGGGTTGCGGCGCTCATCTCGCTTTACTGGCCGAGGGAGCCGGCGTACAGCTTCCTGGTCATGTGGCCAGCATGACCAAGCTGCTTCTGGTGAACCAGAGCAGCACACAGAAACGCCGTTTCCCTTCCCGCCGGAGCGGTACCTATTTATCTACTTGCACTTTGACGTGCTTTGGAACTGCTAGGTTGGCAGGAGCAGGGACCGAGCAACGGGAGCTCACCCCGTCGCGGGGATTCGAACCACCGACCTTCTGATCGGCAAGCCCTAGGCTCTGTGGTTTAACCCACAGCGCCACCTGCGTTTATCACATGCCGTGATAGATGACTTCAAACACCTGAAGGGCTGTCCCGTGGAAGATGGAGCAAGCTGGTTTTCTGCTGCTCTGGAGGGAACGACCTGAACCAACAGATTCCAATGACAAGAAAGTAGATCCCAACTCAATGTTAGGAAGAACTTCCTGGTGGAACGGACTCCCCTGGGAGCTGGTGGACTCTCCTTCCTTGGAGGTTTATAAGCAGAGGCTGGATGGCCATCTGTCAGGGATTATTTCGCTGTGACACCTGCGTGGCAGGGGGTTGGGCTGGATGACCCTCGGGGGTCCCTTCCAACTTCACAACAGTATGATTCCATACTTCAGAAGAGGCAGAGCAATTTCAAAAACTCAATACATTTCAACTCCCTAGTGAGCCCTCCTGCTGGAAACTCACATGATAGATCACTGCAGCTTCAACATCTCCGTAACTCTGTTCCTATATGAAGATAAATTCTAGCACCACATTGTTTTCTCTCTCTCTCTGGTGACTGGGAGTGGCTGCTGAGACCATATAATACTGGTCCTGAAAGACTGGTCCTGAAAGCTCCATCTGGTACGCAGGATGAGACCCTTCCTGCCCGCAGACTGTCTTGCCAGAGAGGTGCGTGCTCTAGTTATCTCCCGCTTGGACTACTGCAATGTGCTCTACGTGGGGCTACCTTTGAAGGTGACCCAGGAACTACAACTAATCCAGAATGCGGCAGCTAGACTGGGAACTGGGAAAAGCCGCCAAGACCATATAACACTGGTCCTGAGAGATCTGCATTGGCTCCCAGGACGTTTCCCAGCACAATTCAAAGTGTTGGTGCTGACCTTGAAAGCCCTAAATGGTCTCGGTCCTGTATATCTGAAGGAGCATCTCCATCCCCATCGTTCAGCCCAGCCACTAAGGTCCAGTTCCGAGGGCCTTCTGGCAGTTCCCTCCCTGCGAGAAGTGAGGGCCTTCTCGGTAGTGGCACCCTCCCTGTGGAACTCCCTCCCGCCAGATGTCAAGGAAATAAAAAAACTACTTGACTTTTAGAAGACATCTGAAGGCAGCCCTGTTTAGGAAAGTTTTTAATGTTTGAGGTTTTATCGTGTTTTTAATATTCTGTTGGGAGCCGCCCAGAGTGGCTGGGGAAACCCAGACAGATGGGTGGGGTATAAATAATAAATTATTATTATTATCTCAACACCCACCCACCCACACCCACCCATTAATACCCCATGGCAATACAAGCCCCAGCCCATAAGTCCATCCACGTGGCAGCCATGGACACCGCCCCGACCACGGCGCAGCGACTCGAACGGTGCAACGGGCCCCGACCCACGTCACTCGCCTGTAAACCAGAGAGTCATCCAGGGAGCTGTTGTACTGGATCTGGTACATACGGATGCCAGGGATGTGCCGTTCAGACGGCCAGTGGATGACCACCGAGGTGGACGTCAGGTCAGCCGCCACGATCCTCTTGTCCAGGTAGTTCTTGGTGTCGTTGGCGCCCGATTTGGCAGAGGTGGTGATGTCCGACGAGCCGGGATCGGGCTCCTTCATGTGACCCGTGTTGTTGACCAGCAAGGGGAGTGGGACAATGCAGATCTCGACGGGAGCCGTGGCCTCGCCGGCAGCGTTGGAGGCGATGCAGGTGAAGACCCCGTTGTCCTTCAAGGTGGTGATGAGAACTTCCAGGGTCCCGTTCTCGAAGACCGTCGTGCGGGTGGTGTTGTGGATCAGCTTGCCGTCGGGGGCGATCCAGTGGATGGAGGGCTCTGGGTCGCCTACCGCCTTGCACTTGAGGCTGACGCCTTGCCCTTCCATGATGAAGGCCTTGGAGGAGTATTGGCGGGTGATGAGCGGGGGCTCGCAGATGAACTCCTCCTCAGGGATGGACCAGAAATACTTGTCCATCAAGTGTTCCGGCGAAGCGCAGGTCTCCAGGTCATCCTCTCGGGTCAACCTACGGAGCCAGAGGAGCTCGCAGTTGCAATGGAGCGGGTTGCCTCCAAAGCTGATGGTCAAGGTGGACGGGTGAGTCCCACGCACGTTGGCCAACACTTGGGCTCTCAAGAAGAGGTTGTCCGGGGGCAGCTTCTGCAGCCGGTTGGAGGTCATGTCCAACCGGACCAGCTTCTGCAGCTGGGAGAAGGTTCCCTCGGCAATGTGGTCGATGAGGTTGTGGTCCAACGTCAAGGTGTTGAGGGTCACCATCTGCCCGATGGCCTCCCAGGGCAGCGTCTCCAGGTTGTTGTAGGAGAGGTCCAGGTCCTCCACGGTGGAGAGGAACTCGTCAAAGGCAGAAGGCTCAATGTGGCTGATCTGGTTGTTGCCCAGGATGAGGTGGCGCAGGTTGCCCAGCCCGCGGAAGTGTTCGTTCTTCAGGGCGGCCAGGCGGTTGCTGTTCATGTGCAAGGCCCTTAAGGCACGCAGGTCAGAGAAGGCGTAGGGCAGGATCTGGCTGATGGTGTTGCGCGAGAGAGTGAGGTGCACCAGGCTGGTCATGTTGGAGAAGTCCTTGCGGCGGATGACGGTGATGAAGTTGTCCGTCAGGCGCAGCTCCACCGTCCGCCGGTCGATGGTGGGCGGGACAAAGAGGAGGCCCGTCTTGGCGCACAACATGGTCAGCGTCGGGGAGATGTTCTGGCAGATGCATCGGCCGGGGCAGTGCTGAGCTTTCGCCATGGTGCCAAGCATCAGAAGAGGCAGGAAAAACTTTTCCATCGTACCGGCACACGCCGTACCTGCGGAGGGAAGGGAGAGAGGCGTCAGTCGGGGACACAAGCGTGCCGGCAATGAATCACACGGAAGAAGTGACGTTAACTTTATCAGAACAAACAAGGTCTGCTCAGGAGTGCCAGGCCTCATGAGCGTAGCAACACTTCTTGGTGGGTCTTGCCACTCTGAGGGAGTTGTGAAGACTAAAGGCAGGGTTGCCAAATGTCCATTTTTTCCAGGACATGTCCTGTTTTTCTGGTCTGGTTGCCATAGGTCCATTAGACTCAGATCTAAGGCACCTGGCTAAGCTAGTCTGCAGCAGAGAATGGCAACAGAGCAGTATCTTAAACTAGCTAAAGGTAAAGGGGTAAAGGGACCCCTGACCATTAGGTCCAGTCGTGGCTGACTCTGGGGTTGTGGCGCTCATCTCGCTTTATTGGCTGAGGGAGCCGGCGTACAGCTTCTGGGTCATGTGGCCAGCAGGACTAAGCCGCTTCTGGCGAACCAGAGCAGCACACGGAAACGCCGTTTACCTTCCCGCTGGAGTGGTACCTATTTATCTACTTGCACTTTGATGTGCTTTCGAACTGCTAGGTTGGCAGGAGCTGAGACGGAAGAATGGGAGCTCACCCCGTCGCGGGGATTCGAACCACGACCTTCTGATCGGCAAGTCCTAGGCTCTGTGGTTTAACGCACAGCACCACCCGCGTCCCCTTAAACTAGCTATATACTGTATAAATCCCTTCTCTTGTGGCTGAACTAAAAGGATGCTGGTGCAACTACAAGATCTTGGAGAAGGCGTTAGCGAGGGCAAGAGTTAACACCCCCCTGCCCTTAAAGAGAGTCCATATGCACATGTTAAACAGTTCAATGAATTGTTCTGGGCACACTGATGATGTGAACATGAGCCCAAATACTTTCATGGCAAGTGAGGGAGCAACAGGTATTCTTATTATTTTGCTGCTGAAAGTTAAGAACAGGCATTCCCAAACTCGGCCCTCCAGATGTTTTGGGACTGCAATTCCCATCATCCCTGACCATTGGTCCTGTTAGCTAGGGATGATGTGCAAGCTGTTATTCAGAATTGTGCACGCTAACCACAGCAAAATAGTGTATTGCACAAAAAGTTGAAAATAAAGACCCCACCCATTATAACTGATTGGTTAAGGAAAACCTGGCAAAGTAGCTTAATGATAAAACGCAATATATAAAACTCAAGAAAGCAAATTTATTGAGAGGTGGGCTCTGCTTTTACATTGTGGAATGACAATGCAAAGCACAATATTTAATCTACTCACTTTACTTTAAAGGTCTCTCCTGCCTCCCTTGCTGTTTGATGTATACGAAGTTCCCGCTATGCAAACACTCGTACGAATATTCATTTATCTGAACACAAAGGTATTGGGTACTGAAATTAGTACCCAAACTTTGCTATACACACTGCAGGTTCAGATATCCAAACATCTGGGCTTGCATATCGTACTGTAAACAGATAATCGGTGCTTTTTTTTTCTTTTAAAAAAATGTTTAGGGGTATTCTCATTTTCCTACTCATATTGAAATACTGCCCCTTGATGAGGCCAAACTTAGATTCACAAAATGTCAAGGAGTATGCGTCCCCCCAGGAAAAAAAGCAGTGATCAGCCTTAAACAAACCTCACTTTTTTGTGTTTTTCTGGTCTGCGGAACCTGTTTCGATGGAAACCATGGTGGGATCAGAAAAATAAGGGAATATTTGCCCCTTCCTTGTTTCACTTCTGCACAGTTTCAGACGGTTTCCCTAGGTTTCCCTTTTCTCATTTTGGGTCCACATTCGTGGTTGGGAACGCATTAGCAATTCCTGCATAGGAATCAATCGGAATCGCTGACTTGTTACGCGAACGCCCGCCTAACGAACAATTTCCTGCAAACGCATTGCCTTTTATAGCGGGACCTGCATGTATCATGGTCTTGGCTAGAAAGTGCAATAATATCGTAATAATGAAATAATTTTTAAAGGGGGAAAAAAGAATGGTGTATGCATCAAACATGAAATACAGCTGCAATCGAAATTATTCACCCTCTCCCATTGCAAATCAGGTTCATTATCAAAATGTACAGACTTTCAGCTGTTTGCAATGAGCAAAGCAAACAGAAGCAATTGAAATGGCTCAACTCGACAGAGGCTTTGAGTGGTTTCCCCCAAATTCAGCTGAAAATGCAACTCACTACAGTGGACGCTCGGGTTGTGAACGTGATCTGTGCGGGATGCACGTTCGCAACCCGCAGCGGCATGTCTGCGCACGCGCGAGTTGCGATTTGGCACGTCTGCGCATGTGCAAAGCGCAATTTAGCACTTCTGCGCATGCACGACCGCCAAAACCCGGAAGTAACCCGTTCCAGTACTTCAGGGTTTCGGCGGTCTGTAACGCCAAAAAACGCAACCTGAAGCGTCTGTAACCCGAAGTATGACTGTATTTGCTCATTGCAAACAGCTGAAAGTCTACACATGTTGATAATGAACCTGATTTGCAATGGTGAATAATTTTGATTGCAACTGTATATACATATATAGATATATCTATATTGTCAGAATTATGTCCTGATAATCTGTGCTGGGCAATGACAAACCTAGACAGCATCTTAAAAAGCAGAGACATCACCTTGCCAACAAAGGCCCGTACAGTTCAAGCTATGGTTTTCCCAGTAGTGATGTATGGAAGTGAGAGCTGGACCATAAAGAAGGCCGATTGCCGAAGAATTGATGCATTTGAATTCTGGTGCTGGAGGAGACTCTTGAGAATCCCATAGACTGCAAGAAGATCAAACCTCTCCATTCTGAAGGAAACCAGCCCTGAGTGCTCACTGGAAGGACAGATCCTGAAGCTGAGGCTCCAAGACTTTGGCCACCTCATGAGAAGAGAAGACTCCCTGGAAAAGACCCTGATGTTGGGAAAGATGGAGGGCACAAGGAGAAGGGGACGACAGAGGACGAAATGGTGGGACAGTGTTCTCGAAGCTACCAGCATGAGTTTGACCAAACTGCGGGAGGCAGTGGAAGACAGGAGGGCCTGGCGTGCTCTGGTCCAGGGGGCACGAAGAGTCAGGCATGATTCAACGACTAAACAACAACAACATATTGCCAGAATTATGTCCTGATAATATGTGCTGGCCTCCCCACCAGCACGTCCTCGTCGGCCCTCAGGAGTCACGACACAACCCCGTCGTGAACGTTTCTCTCTGCGCCTGGGCAGACGGTCCGTTTTGTCTGCCCGCTTCTTGAGACGACGTGGTGAAGGGGCAGCGGCATTGTGCTGGAAGAGGCGTCGGAGGACCCAGATGAGGAAGAGGAGCCTTTTTTCCTCCCCTGACGGCGGCTATTAATACGGCTCCTATTATGCCGCCGGGTGTCTGAAGTCCTCCTTGGAGCCAAGGGAGACAGAATGTGGCGCGTCTCAGAACAAAGGCTGCCTGCTTTGCGCTCCTTTGAAGAGCCCTTCACCCACCAGCGATTACCTTGGGAAACGAGGCTCCACTGGAGGGAGAAGAAGGAGGAGAGGCAGGAGGGAGGATCGCGGTCGGGGAAGCAAGGGGGGGCATGTTATAGATGCTGGCAAATTCAGGGTGAAGGAGAGGGCTATTGGAAGCTACGAGCCACAGTGGCTCAGCTCTGCCTTCCATGGTCAGAGGCAGCAAGCCACGGAAGAAGAGAGCACTTAGAATAGGGGACAGCAAACTTTTTCAGCAGGGGGCCAGTCCACTGTCCCTCAGACCTTGTGGGGGGCCGGACTATATTTTGAAAGGGGAGGAAATAAACGAATTCCTATGCCCCACCAATAACCCAGAGATGCATTTTAAATAAAAGCACAAGTTCTACTTGTTAGCCAAACAGTGGTACCTCAGGTTACATACGCTTCAGGTTACAGACTCTGCTAACCCAGAAATAGTGCTTCAGGTTAAGAACTTTGCTTCAGGATGTAAACACAAATTGTGCTCCGGTGGTGCGGCAGCAGGAGGAGGCCCCATTAGCTAAAGTGGTGCTTCAGGTTAAGAACAGTTTCAGGTTAAGTACGGACCTCCAGAATGAATTAAATACTTAACCTGAAGTACCATTGTATTATATAGCAAAAATATTTCAATTTATTTCCTGTTCCTCTTTTGTTGCCCTGTAGGGCACATCTGCATAGACCAAGACAGGGGTCAGCTAATGTTTTCAGCAGGGGGACGGTCCACTGTCCCTCGGACCTTGTGGGGGGCCAGACTATATTTGGAAAAAAATAAATAAATGAACGAATTCCTATGCCGGATGTGGACAGAGGGGCGTGACCAGGAGGATGAGGGGTGTGGAAACCAAGCCTTGGGATGAACGGTTGAGGGAGCTGGGCATGTTTATCTTGGAGAAGAGGAGACTGAAGGGAGATATGAGAGCCATCTTTAAAATACCCGAAGAGCTGTCACCTGGAAGATGCTAAGGAGAGTAGGACCTGAACCAATGGATTCAAGGTGCAAGAAAGGGTCATGTAGCCAGAAGGACTAAACTGCTACTGACACAACGGGACACCGTGATGAGTGCCAGAGCGCACGGAAACACTGTTTACCTTCCTGCCACAGCAGTACCTATTTATCTACTTGCACTGGCATGCTTTCGAACTGTTAGGTTGGCAGGAGCAACCAGAGCTCACCACCATTGCACGGATTCGAATCGCCAACCTTCCGATCGGCAAGCCCAAGAGGCTCAGTGGTTTAGACCAGGTACTGCTGCGGCGGGAAGGTAAACGGCATTTCCGTGTGCTCTGGTTTCCGTCACGGTGTCCCGCTGCGCCAGAAGCAGTTTAGTCCTGCTGGCCACATGACCCGGAAAGCTGTCTGTGGACTAACGCGGGTCCCTTAGCCTGAAAGCAAGATGAGCACTACACCCCATAGTCGCCTTTGACTGGACGTAACCGTCCAGGTGATGTCTCTGCTTTTTTTTTAAAAAAAAAAAAAAAGCAGAGACATCACCTTGCCGACAAAGGTCCGTATAGTTCAAGCTCTGGTTTTCCCAGTAGTGATGTATGGAAATGAGAGCTGGACCATCAAGAAGGCTGATCGCCGAAGAATGGATGCTTTTGAATTCTGATGCTGGAGGAGTCTTGAGAGTCCCATGGACTGCAAGAAGATCAAACGTATCCATTCTTAAGGAAATCAGCCCTGAGTGCTCACTGGAAGGACAGATCCTGAAGCTGAGACTCCAAGACTTTGGCCACCTCAGGAGAAGAGAAGACTCCTTGGGATGGACCCTGATGTTGGGAAAGATGGAGGGCCCAAGGAGAAGGGGACGACAGAGGACGAGATGGTGGGACAGTGTTCTCAAAGAAACCAGCATGAGGCAGTGGAAACCAGGAGTGCCTGGTGTGCTTTGGTCCATGGGGTCACGAAAAGTCAGACATGACTAAACAACAACAACCGTCCAGGGGTCCTTTACCTTTTACCTTATGTGTAAATAAACCATATATCATTAAGACCCAACAGTCTCCACTGTGCTTCATTCCCAAAGGTAATACAGATACCAGGTAAGCATCTGGAACCCTTGGAATTTTGCTTCCCTTGGAGACTGCGGTTTGCATGCAATACTATAAACACTCATTAATTTAAAAGGAATAAATCCCTGGCCTCTCACCAATGGCCAGTGGCTTTGTTTCTGAATTTAGCTGAATTTGTTTCCCACAAAGCCATGCCCATGTAAACGTCTATTTATTTAGTGGGTTTATATATCAGCTGTCGGGACGCGGGTGGCGCTGTGGGTAAAACCTCAGCGCCTAGGACTTGCCGATCGCATGGTCGGCGGTTCGAATCCCCGTGGCGGGGTGAGCTCCCGCCTTTCGGTCCCAGCTCCTGCCCACCTAGCAGTTCGAAAGCACCCTTAAGTGCAAGTAGATAAATAGGTACCGCTTTATAGCGGGAAGGTAAACGGCGTTCCGTGTGCTGCGCTGGCTCGCCAGAGCAGCTTCGTCACGCTGGCCACGTGACCCGGAAGTGTCTCCGGACAGCGCTGGCCCCCGGACTCTTAAGTGAGATGGGCGCACAACCCTAGAGTCGGACACGACTGGCCCGTACGGGCAGGGGTACCTTTACCTTTATATCACCTGTCACCAAAAAACGAGGTGGATAGCAAAAATTCATTGGAAACACAAGACAGGAAAGCATAGACACACAAAACCCAGATTAATTAACAGTGACTGATAGCCCATAGTTCAGCATTCTGTTTTCACAGTGGTCGACCAGAAGCCCTAATGGGAAATCTGCAAGCAGCACCAGAACAAAAGAGCCCTTCTCCTCTCCTGCGGCCGCTTCTGACAATGGATGCAGTGCATAGCCCATGTGGCTAGCAGCCCTGAATAGCCCTCTCCTCCATGCGTTCACCTAACCTTATTTTAAAGCCACAAAGATTGCTGGACACCACTGTCTCCTGTGCCAGAAAGTTCCACAGTCTAACTCTCCACTGTGCAAAAATTTTATCTGTTCTAGAGCAAGAGAGAGAACTGAGCCGCACAACCGCTTGGGTCGGGGCAAAAAACAAAGTTGCCCCAACCATAGGAGCCCTCGATAAAATATTTGAGCGGGCCATGAGCCCCCAAAGTTGACGGGCATTGCCATTCAAATGGCGTGCATGTGCCCCGCCATATGATTGATTATGCCGGGCGAAGCTTACCTGCTCCCAAATATCTTATTCAAGTTGGCACCCCTGGCACCGGCTGTCACCTGCCACTCAACGCAGGCTTGTTTACACAGGGATTGATTGACAGCGCCTCGCTCCCCCCTCCCTGACTCAGAGCTGGATCCTGTTTTCCCAGCCACTGGCGAACAACCGCCTTTGCTCACCTGCCCTTTGCTGGGATGCGTGGAATTAGCCCTCAGACAACCTCCTGCCACGCAAAACCTTTGCATTTGCAACACCTCCGACCTGCGCTGGCCTGTCTCTCAAACC